GAGATGTGCAGGAGGCAGCTGATCGATGTTTCTCTCTTATCGATGTTTCTAACTCTCTATCTCTCTCCCTTCCTCTCTGTAAAAAATCAATAAAATATATTAAAAAAAAGAAAAGAAAAGGTATTTGAGTCAAAGAGGGGAGTTGATGTAAAGAAAGTGTCTCTAACTGTCAGTGTGTGTGTGTGTGTGGGACCTGCCACACCCACCTGGAAGGTGCAAGTCCTGGGGACGCCAGGCGGGTATGGGTGACATAGGACCCGCCTTGGTGGGGCCGGCGGCCGGGTGGAGACGCTCCAGGCCCCTGAGGCCGCCTGTACCTGCGGTGGGTGGGCTGCGGGGCTGTGCTGGGGGACACGTCTGTACCAGTGAGGTGTCCCCTTCCCAAATCGGACTCGTGAAAACTATTGGCTCCTTAAACAGTAAGGCGTTAGGCCTGCCCCTCCCCCCGGGACGTGGTGTTGAGTGACGGGAGGTTTGGAAGCGGTCACTATGGTGATTCCCAGGGAAGGCGTGGGGCTTTTCACGTGAAGGAAGAGATGGGGGCTGGTCTCTGTGTCCAAAACCAGATGCAAACACACTCACATGCATGCACACATGCACATGCGCACACACACACTCATGAGCGCACACATGCACATACATGCAGACACACGCACACACATGCAGACATCAGTTTCCAATAAGAGGCTCAGTTTCCTCTTTACGTGTGTTTGAGGTGAAGCACGCATGTAACCAGGGCTGGCTTTAGTACAGTCAGTACAGAGGACGGGTTGTTAGGGGCCATAAAAAATAACCAGCTTTTTTTAAAAAAAATATTTTATTGGTTTTTTACAGAGAGGAAAGGAGAGGGATAGAGAGTTAGAAACATCGATGAGAGAGAAACATCGATCAGCTGCCTCCTGCACATCTCCCACTGGGGATGTGCCTGCAACCCAGGTACATGCCCTTGACCGGAATCGAACCTGGGACCCTTCAGTCCGCAGGCTGACGCTCTATCCACTGAGCCAAGCCGGCTGGGGCCTGAGTTGCTTTCTGATGTCACCGGCTCATGACTGCTGGCCTCACAGGAGTTGACCTGAGCTTGCCCTGGGGTCCGTTTGGGGGTCCGCTCTCCGTGTGGAGAACAGCACCCCGCACTTCGCCAACCTGTGAGGGGGCCCTGTGTATTTCTTGGGATAATGGTGGAAGCTGCCACATCCGGTGGTGATGTAAGGAGGTTGCTGTCTGCAGACTGGGGAGGTATCTGAGTCTTCGCTCTATTCAGGGAGGAAGATTCCGCAGCCGCATCTGATCCGAGACAGAGCTGAGGTTGATTGGTGATGTCTGCCGGGGCGCAGGGATGGGGAAAGCAGCGGACACAGCCCTCACTTGCTACTCTGACGTATTCTGATTATTTTGCATCCGTGAAACCCGTACAGTCCTCTTTGTAGACTTCACCCTCCTCCCGATCACGGGCGTCACAGGGACCCCCACAAATGAGCTTTCTTCCTGTCCGTGCCCCACCCTGATGACCTGCTGGTGCCGCCTCAGAACTCACGGCCCGTCTCTGTTCTCTTTCAGTCGAAGAGGGGGAGGCCTCGGACTTCTCGCTGGCCTGGGATTCCTCCGTGACAGCCTCAGGTAAGCGCCCTGGGACCTGGGGGTGGGGGGTCGCGGGGGACCGGCTGGGGAACTGGGAAAGCCACCAGCTGGTTATGGCAAGCGTCCATCTCTGGTCCAGCCGACCCCGGGCAGCACAGCACGGTTTTCCGTCCGTTCCATTTGGCCATAAAACCTATCACACACGGAGACTAATACGCCCGGCTCTCCGGGCCACGTTTCTTCCCGTGGGCACGTTCCGATGGGCCACGTGCCCCCACGGCTCGGGCTTCGAAGCTGGTGCTACAGCGCCGCTGCCACGCGTTCCCGGCTAATTGCTGAGAAGCCGCCCTAAGAGGACACGGAGCCGGGAAATCAGACACGAGGCTCCCCTCCCGGAGGGGGCAGCCCGGCCACGCCTCCGGAGGGGAGAGCGGGGAAGCCCAAACTGCCGGGTGCGTGGCCATTGCGGGGTGATGGGGTGTGTGGCAGTCAGGGGCTTGGGATTTCGGCTCAGGTCTGCCCTGGCCTCAGCTCCCCCTGCCTCAGTTTCCCCCACCATGGAAACAGGCGGATGCAGGAGGTTTTTCTAACCGTGAAGTCCTGTCATTTGGAACTGGTTTGGGGTCCTCGGAAGCTTCTGGATGGCGGCTCTCGGGTTTGCTCAGCATCTGGCGGGCCCTGGCCCCCCCATCCGGCAGGGGCCGGCTCTCCCGCCTGTCCCCTGTCCCAGGACCCTGGGCCACTGGCTCCGGTCCCATGGGGGAGCTGGGACCAGTTCCGTCTTGTGGAATCTTGGGCCTGAGGAGTCGTTTAGTCCAAACTTCTCCTTTCAGATGCGGACACGGCGGCAGGGAGAGGGATTTGCTCAGGCTCAGTACTTCCATAGGCGTGGGGTAGGGCTCCAGGCGTACGGATGTTTAACTCGATGGTGACACATCGCATTTGGAGTTTTATGGTCATTTGTGACCTGAGATGATGCTAGGGTCACGTCAGTGAGGAAAGTGAGTGGCACAGTGTAAAGTAGCAGCACACAGGCCGGGGCTGGGCCGGGCCGTGAGGGTGGCTACAGGCGACTGACGCTGGGAAACGCTGGGATGCATGGGACAGGAGGGGCGCGGGAGTGACACTCGAACCCAGGTCCCTGGACTTCCGGTCCAGTGCTCTTCCCCGCAGGGTCCGGGCGCTGCTGGGAGAGACTGCGGGTTGTGGTGGGTCCTGCTGACCCAGGTGTGGGCACCGCTGTGTCTGCAGGTGCCTGGCCCTTGGGGCCCAGGGGCCCTCCCTGGGAGGGGTCTCGTCTGAAGCCACCTGGGTGGGGGGTGCTCAGATTCTCAGGAGGGGAGTCTGGCATCAGGACACACCTTGGGGTCCTGGCTAGCCCTGTCCTGTGTCCTGTGGGAGGAGATGCATTCCCCGTGGTTGGGATGAGACTGTCAGGCTCCATGTGCCATCCGGGCGTCCTGACCCATGTGGGGTGCCATGTGGGGTGCTTGCCGCCAACTCGGAAGAGGGGCCACACTGTGCTCACAACCCCCATACCAGGAGGCGCCAGCCTGCTAGGGTCCATACAAGCCCCCCTCCCCCAAGCTGCTCTCCCAGGCCAGCCCACCTGGGGTGCAGGAGGGCGGGAGGGGCAGGGCCGCCGTGAGCCCTGTGCAGGGTGCATCAGCGGCCGGGCCACACCCTGAGGCGGGAGGTGTCGCTGGTCTGCAGAAGGCAGGGGTGATGCCAGGGGGCACCACAGCATCCCTCCCCGGGCGGCTCCGGGCAGCCATCTGCTGGGGGCCGGGCCGGAGGCCTGGTGGAAGCTGCTTTTGTGTAACGCTTTTCCTTATGTGGAGAAAACGTCACTGGCCGCATCAGAAAGCAGGGCAGGTGCTGAGGCAGATTATGGGGGAGCAAAGTCCCCCCCCCCCAGCTCTGGGCCACCCGTGGTGCTGCGGCTGCTGGGAATTGCCAGCCTCTTTTGGGGGAGAAAGGGAAGTCTGGGAGCAGTGCCGGAGCGGACCCACGGTCCCAGCCAGCGCGCTGTGGGGCAGGGGCTTGAACCCAGGTCCTCCTGCAGCCAGAGGCTGGGGTTTAACCTTGGCAGTGCCCGGCACTGGGAGGTGGGCAGCTGAGCAGACCGGAAGCAGCGGCATCGGGGGGCCCTGGGGAGCTCCCTGGGGGCACAGGACCCGAGGTGGCCATAGCGCAGCGGTTCTCAACCTGTGGGTCGCGACCCCTTTGGCGGTCGAACGACCCTTTCACAGGGGTCACCCGAGACCATCCTGCAGATCAGATATTTACATGACGAGTCATCACAGTAGCAACATGACAGTGATGAAGTAGCAACGAAAATAATTTTATGGTTGGGTCACAACATGAGGAACTGTGTTTAAAGGGCCAGAAGGTGGGGAACCACTGCCATGGGGGTGTTTGGCTCCTCAGATCAAAGGCACGCAGGGGTGAGCTGAGCAGCGTGGGCCGAGAGCACTGAGCGGGAGGCGTGCAGAGCTGTAGGCACGGGCGGCTCCTCCTCGTGTGGGGGCCCAGGCAGCCGGGGTGGAGGTAGAGTTTGGGGGCATGTTGGGCTTCCTCCCAACATGGCTGCTCCAGACCGAGCCTGGGATGCAGCGGAGGAGGGTCCGGAGATGTGAGACGGTTACGTCGTTAACAAACGCGCATCGTCAGGCCCGGGGCAGGTCAGCCGCGTTTATTCTGGCTCCACGACAGCCAGGCTGGAGGCTGGGGAGAAACAGGATCCAATCGGCTGCTTGCAGAGGCCCAGCAGCCTGAGCCTCCTTGGTGTGGCCAGCGTGTGCGGAGGCCTTCTGCCAGGGGACAGGTCTCACTGTCCTGTTCACGGAACCTTGACACCCCCCCACCCCCCACCGAGGAGCTGACCCAGGGGCCAGGCCTCCTGCCCCGTGCTGCTCACACGCAGACACCAGGGCACAGAAACGCCTGTGACCTGCGTGGAGGCCGCCCAGCCCCATGGCGGCGGCAGAGCCGGGCTGTGAACCGAGCAGCTCCCGCAGGACTGTGGCCCCTGAACCGCAGATGTCAGAGCTGCCCGTGAGGGGGTGGGTCCAGGCTCTTCATTTCCGAGGGGACCCAGAGGCTGGGCGAGGGGTCGGCTCTATGTCCAGGTCCCTCCCGGGTCAGGGGGAAGAGTCCAGCTCAGTGGTTCTCCACCTTCCTGATGCCGCGGCCCTTTCATACAGCTCCTCATGTGGTGGTGACCCCCAACCATAACATTATTTTCGTCGCTACTTCATCACTGTAATGTCGCTACTGTGATGAATCGTCACGTTAATATCTGATATGCAGGATGTAATTTCATTGTTACAAATGGAACATAATTAAAGCATAGTGATTAATCACAAAAACAATATGTAATTATATATGTGTTTTCCAATGGTCTTAGGCGACCCCTGTGAAAGGGTCGTTCGACCCCCAAGGGGTCGCGACCCACAGGTTGAGAACCGCTGGCTAACTAGGCCAGGAGCCTGGTTTGCATCCCGGAAGGAGGAGGGGTGCGTGTTGTGGTGGCCTGGTCCCCTTTTCCCATCTTCAAAGGCTGGAGAACACTGTGGGCCAGGCCCTCCGCGGGGCCTCCTGCCCCAGCCCAGCCGCTG